AACTGTACACATTGTTAGCGGCATCCGGTTCCGAATTTGCCTGTCACTGTGGCCTCCATAGGACAGCCACAGGACGCCTGCACCTACAGAGGGACCATGGGTGGCTTGCGCTGCACCACTCACAGCTCCAACCACACATCCCATATCTAGTGTAAACCCGAAGGAATAAGACCGGGAGGCATGTGGATGAGAGCCACGTTTCATCAACGGAGCCGACCCTCACTCCTTCACAGGCAAACGCAAGCACGCTGTGTTTGGGGAATCAGTCGCACACAAGGCCGTGGCTGGACCGTAGTCCGTTGCACACTGAGTGCATTGAAGCACCCTTGAAGCCTAGCATGGCCACAAGGACCGCGCATCCCGTCCCCACCAGCAACTACCAACTGTCTCCTGGAGCCAGTATGGACGAGGTAGTGGGTAATAGACAGGTAGGCACCTTATCAACATGCACATCAAGTGCAGCCACACCGGGGATATCAAACCACAGCCAAACACTTGAAGCGACGATATCAAGTAAAGTAAAGCGAATAATGCATTCAGATATGGAGACATAACTCTTCACTAAATAAGTATATGAATAAAGTTGGTTATAAACGAATCTTTAGCGAGTAGCCTATAGCGGGAGCACGGAGAGCGATTCGGAAAGGCAGATCGGGTTGCAGGGAAACTTTTATTGGTACAGTAAAAGATTCCCTGTTACCTAGCTATAAAATAGCGACACCGTTGACGCTGTAGCTAGGGGAACGGATGATGCACAGCACACAGGGCAGTTGTGCGTTGCAACCTAAACGAGCGCCAAGCAAAAATGACGATGAGCAAGTCAAGCATTTGAACTCAGCACTCAGTTCAACAAACCACACCGGTTGCTTAGGTATACAATGAAATAAATTTAGTTAGAATTTTGCACAGGCAAACCGGGGATTCTTCAGACTGCTACCTAGGCATCCCCCAGAAGGGATTGTGTAAGCATTCCTTCGATCTACGTGAGGACTGTCCGTCGCGGGCCAGCCTTCTGCGAGACCAGGCTGTGAAAAGCGTTGAAAACAGGTCGACTCATCGAAGTTGGAACTACGGGTCGGGTGAAGTTTGTGAGAAGTCACAAAGAATGGTCCCCTCAGATGAAGCTAGTGGAACTTCGCGTAGTTTCAACGAGGTATATGTATGTATTATACACAATCTATGGTACAGATATTGTGCCATCATAATCATGACTGAATAGGAAAACAATATAATAAGAAAAGAGCAACAAGAACTGCTTTTTTTCTATTTTACCACTCACAGTTCTTGACATTTTTTCAGTTTGTACTTTTTTAGGGGGAGGAAGAAGGGACACCGCAACAAACCGATGCACACGTCCGCCATTGACATCGATCTTGCGCCATGGCTTCCAAGGTCTTCAACCAGCAAGTATCCGCATCTCTCGGATTCCAACCAGGTAGTCGACAACAACCGGCCGAGGCCAACTGTTTCGTCAGCTTTTTCATGCGGCTTCTCCATGTTGTAGGCTGTCCACCAGACCGTCTCTTCCAGCCCTGTCCAGCAAGTGCAAACAACGCACGACGGGGATAACGCTGGACAGGCATGCGCAATACGTGTCCCAACCACCGCAGTTGATGCACTGAGATGAGCTCCTCGAGCGAGTGGCTTCCACGTCCCAAGACACGCTGTCTAACTTCCACATTGCTTACGTGGTGCTGCCACCACACACCGCAGACAGCGGTGCTCGAAGACGGATAGCCTGCGCAAGTCATCTTTACGAATGGGCCAGGTCTCGCATCCGTACAACAGTACAGCACGAACAGTTGCACAATAGACCCGCCGTTTGATGGAGAGACGAATGTCGTGGCGACACCACAAATGCCTCAGCCTAGAAAAAGCGAGGCGTGCTTTCGAGATGCGCATCGAAATCTCGTCTCCAACAGCCCCGCCAGTAGTGATGCAACTTCCCAAGTAGACAAAGCTCTCCACAACCTCTAGTGTCTCCCCAGCAAGCGTGAATGCAGGCAGAGGCACCTGCCAGTCTTGGAAGAGAGCTTTGCATTTGGATGGCGAAAAGTACATACCGTACTTTGATGCTTCAGTCACCAAGCGGTTTAATGCAAGTTGGACGACGTGTGGGTCGTCACCCAGCAAGACGGTGTCATCAGCATAATCCAAATCAACAACTCGACTACCTGGGAGGAGCTCAACGCCAGCATTCAACGAATCACCTAGAGTGTTCTTCAAGACATCCTCAATGGCAAGGTTGAATAGGAACGGAGAGATAGGGCATCCTTGTCGAACTCCATTGGAGACCACAAAGGTAGGCGGAAGCTTGCCATAAGCCCTAATCCTGCCGGAATTCAGACTATATAGAGCGTGCAGTATGGAGACGAACTTCTCGGGGACACCATTCTTCAGTAGGCAGTGCCCCAGTCCCGTACGACCGACAGAATCGAAGGCTGCACGGATATCTAAGAATACAGCAATCGTTGGCCTCTGATACACATGGCGGAGCTCGATTATCTGGCGAAGTGTGAGGGTTTGATCGATGCAGCCGCGACCAGGGCGAAACCCAGCTTGTTCTTCTCGTTGCAACGATTCGCGTGTTAGGGATAGCCTGCGAAGTATGATGGACACCAGCAGCTTGCAAACGACGGGGACTAAGCTTATTCCTCTGTAGTTGGAGCAGATTGTGCGCAGGCCCTTTGTGAAGATGGGGACGACTATCGATTCACCCCAAGATGATGGAACTTTCTCTTTCGACCAAATTTTCGAGAACAAAACGGTTAGTTCTCGAACCAGCGATGCGCCATCATCTTCAAATAGAGCCGGAGGAAGACCATCAGGGCCAGGGGCTCTATAACACTTCATGTGCTGGAGCTCCCGCTCGATTTCCTGGGAAGAAGGTGGGTCTGTTAAGGTAGACCACTCGGCCCCGGCGCGAGTGCCAGAGGTAGCAGATGGAGCTGGGGACCAACAAAACGGCTAGCCAAAATGTTCAGCCTATCGCTGCAACCGTCGTTGAAGATTGGTGATTAAGGTGCTATTCTCTTCGCATATTGTTTCACTTATACCAGATCGAACGCCTTCGGTGACTCGAATGAGATGGAAGAGTTTTTTTTGTATTACCAGAGAGACTAGAAAGCTCCATCTCCCTAGCACGTTCACGCCACCAAGCTTCGTGTTTTATTTGCAGACTCCTGCGCAACTCTCGACCAAGGTACTGGCGTTCTTCACTGTGTCTGGAATCCGATGGGATCAAGCGGCGTTTGTCCATCAGCGACAAGAAGTCGGTGGAAATCCAATGCTTCGGTGGGTGACGGGTAACTCCACAAGTGTCGATACTGGCGGAAACTAAAGCATCTTTGATATGCGCCCACTGCGAATCGAGATCACTGTCAATAGTTGAGCCAAGCAAGGTTGACAGTGAGGCTTGGTACCTGGTTAAAATCGCAGGGTTTTGTAAATTCGCGACGTCCGGTCGGTAGTGGGCGCGCTTAGGTGATCCTCCGAAACGCATGCAAATCTTAGCACGAACCAATGCGTGATCGGAGTCTAGAAAGTTGACCAGTACGATCGGCAGTCCGTTACGCTTCCGCGCCATCTGTAGCTGATTGCTATGTGATCAAGTTTGGAGCACTCTTGTGTTTGTGAGGGCGGGCGCCAGGTAGCAGTGTGTCACCTCGAGTGCCGAAAACTAGTGCTCGAAAGAAACAAGCGATGATCAGAACAAAGAGCAAGCAGTCTGTCTCCATTGTCTGATCGACTGCCACCGAGACCAAAACTACCCCCAAGATGGTGCTCGCTTGGTAGAAGGCGGCCAACTCTTGCGTTAAGGTCCCCGGCAAGAATGACTATATCCGTCCGTTTGGAGGAACGCAGAAGTTCATGTAGTTGTTGATAAAAGCTATCTTTAACTGCATCCGGGCTGCAGTCTGTAGGGGCGTAGGCGAAGACGACAAACAAGGCACGCTTAACGTCTCGACGCCTGCTTACGTTACATGAACCTCTTAGTCTGACTGCACATAGTCGGCTGTTGACTGGGATCCAGTCAAGCAGAGCTGATTCAGCCCTAGCACTCAGTACAACCCCAACACCAGCTTGACCAGTGGCGGCAGCTTCTGGGTCTCCGGTAGCGTCAGAGTTTACCGAAGAGGCCATTCTGCTGACAGCGCTAGAGTCTTGTAATCTGGTCTCTGAAAGGCAACGAGGTGTTGCGTAGTAGCTTGTCTATGCCGGGATCAGCTTGTTGGGCAGCAGCCATTGTGGCTAGGTCAATGTTGGTGCCAGGCGATAAACTGCTCTGATGAATGCGTGAAAGCGCATCCGCGGCGGGATTGGGATCACCTGAAATATGCCGTACGCCTGTCGTAAACTGAGAAACGTTGTCTAGGTGTCTAGTTTCCTGCGAATACTTGTCTGTTGTGCCATTGATTGCGTAGATCAATGGCTTGTGGTCAGTGAAGACTGTAAAATGTCGGCCTTCGAGCCGCAGATCGGAGGGCGCACATCGCCGTGGATGAGGCGTGTAAATGAGCACGGCAGTAATGTGTTCGATCGATTTTATGACATAGACTCGCGTTATCATCATAATCAACCTGTCTCTGCCGCGTTGGTTTCTCAACAATTTAAACAAACCAGCAGTGAAGCAATACTCTTCCTGATAAGCATTGTCTGTGAAACCCAGTAAGCCAATAATAAAATTATCTGACAAACACCTACGTCCCCACGCAGCTATCTACACATGGAAAGCCCGAACAATGTCTTGAAGTTTAATACTGGTAGCAGCAATTAACATATACTTTTCTCCGTTTCTCTTATTTGCGTTTTCCGGTAGCATAATGTTTGTGAGTCTTTGTGGCCTTTTTAGTTACCATGTCCCCCTTTTGCCTTTTGGTCCGAAACGCTGGTGATTAGCATTTAATGGCTTCATAGATTGCGCTTTCTTCTCTGCTATATCACTTGTTTTCTTCATTTATTACCCAGTTGATTTGTTTATTCCTTTCACCTCCTTGCAGCTGACTGGCATCATTCAAGATATGGTCGAAAACCAACCAACGCTTGCTCAAGCTTTGAAGGTAAGGTTTCCCGTTTTAATTAGTCGCAATGAGGGCTTTATGCACCTTTAGCACTTTTGGGATTAATCGTTCCCATCCGTTCAATCTTATTATATGTTGGCCCGTACTAAATTTTGTATGGACGATTTCGTCTATCCACTTTGCATGATGCAATGCAATTTCTCGTGACGAATGCAGCATTCGCAGTGAAAATCATTATGTCTAAATAGATGATTTAATGTCCTTAATGCCGATTGCGAACTTCCCGACTATTTTCTATGCGTTGTTTGGTATCCTCGTCGGCATGTACATTGTCTGAATCCGCTTCCCACTAATAATTTTTGAGGCTGATCTACCTGCCCAAGCGAGTATTCCCTGGTCGATTTCCTTATACGGCTTGTATTCCAACCTGATACCATGTTCTGTGTTCCGACGGCTCTTACATTGAATATATTCTTTGCTAAGATCATTAAAAAAACTGCCCTGAATACCAAAACCCACATGGCAATTTCAGGGTAGTTAGCAAACAAGCTACTCCCCGCTTACTACAATTTGCGGAGGCGGCAGCAATTCGGCGGCTGAAACCAAATCTGTGCATGCAAACGGATTTCGTGACCACATTAACCCTTCCCTGGTGAGGCTAGTGATTGCGTTTTCCTCGGAACGGGTCATGTGAGCCTAAAGACCTTCGACCGCTTTGCATTTTTTGCTGTTTACATCGCACTGTGTTTTCCACTAACTGCATGTAAACAGCTGCTGAGAATACGCGAAATTGCTGAACTAAGATCATTAACTTTCTCTTAGCTAACTTTGGTGTTTACAACAAACCATACTATCTCACAGGCAATTTCGTTCATAGCGCAATTAAGTCAGGCCGTAGCGAATTCGAATTCGTTTTTACTCATATTTTAGTCTGTCCATGCGTTGGCCGTGGTTTTTGTGCTCACTGTCACGTAGCTGCCGCATTGGTCAGGCGTCGTTAGCCAACAGGATGTGGATTGTAGGCGTACAGCCAAATGCAGGTAATACATGTGACGAAGGAGTGCAGGCCGCACATGTCCGAGAGTAATTTGTCACCCGGGCGATTATGGATTGTATGACCAGGACGAGAATGGTGATGCGAGGTAGTATAAGGTCTTGTCAGTGTAAGAGTTGGGGCATTCCCCACCTTGCCCCTTTAACAGAGCATGTAGGCGAGAAGAGTTGCTATTCGTTCGTATTCTATCGCGGCCATTAGTCAGTGTCCCCCTGAATTAAAGCTGCAGTCATTTTCCACGCAAACAATTGCGTGCGATGGACACATTTGCTGCGCGAGCAAACAAACCCAAAATGAGCGGCGCATTGCGTCAGCTTCACAGTTGCCTATGACCAAATGTCTAAATTGCATGCAAACCGGTGCATGTAGGCAACTTCACTGATACGATGACTACAACACACCAAGCTTCCTGAGCTCATGAGATTGCCATTAGTTACGTACCAAGATATGTACTTGGTCAACTTGCCTGACGGCAGACCTAAAACCGAAGCTCCGACACTTTGCTTGATTTCTATGTCCAGTCTCAACGAATCGCTGACTATTATACAAAATTTAATACCCGTTTTGCGTCCTCTTTCCAAAATCTGAACAAATGCTGAAAGATCTCTGACGGTTCTTGCAAAAACTGCGAAACCTTCCAAATCACTCTGTGCTCCGCTCTGCAGTGGATTTTTCCCTACTCATCTCAACGTACACCGACCAAATTCCAATCATTCGGTTCGGAATCACCAGCTCTATTCAACAGCCACTTGGCCAGCTCCATACCATCGCAATCGGTACTTAGAGCCATATTTTCTAATACTACCGGTAAATCTGCTTTCCCCTATCGGACCCTAGCTCCATCATATGGACTACATCTCACCGACAACCGACCCTAAACGGCATCGATCAATAGACGCAAGTTTTCTCTCACCTCAAAGTCACTCGACCTTGCGTGCGTGTCACAACGTGTGAGCGAATCACCTTAACGTCAGATTATCATTTACCGTCCGCGTACAACATACCCGTGCACCTAGACGAACAAAGGAGACTAACGAACAAGCTGCGCAGGTGACAGAGAAAGCAACCCGGAATTTAAACCGATTTATTTGCACTACTTATAGTAGTAAAAACTGCACCATATTTTTTCTCGCCCCCCCCTGCGGTTGTATTCCTACTCAATACCAAAACATTCTTCCGAATACCCACTAGAAATGTCTGTTAACAATGTGCAAACTAGAAGCTCTCTCCTTGGGCTGGTTGAAAACAGAAAAGACTATAAAACCCTGATAGCACTGCTAGAAACCCATCCGAGATTAAGGTAAAAAGGGGCTTCCATCATCTAAATTCCAAAAAATAGTGGATGTAGCTGCAAAGCACTCCAACTTTACTACCGCAATTCCGACTGAAACGACAGACCGGATTATAGCCCTTGAGGAAGAAGTAGCCACGCCGAAATGCAAAATTCATGACTTCAGCACATACTATGAACAAGTTCCATCATTCTGTGAACTGCTTAGAGGTTCAGCAACTGTTACACTGGACTGATTGAGCACATCTGCTTCCTTACTCGACTCAGTTACATCTGAAACGCAAGGACAACTCCGTAGATCACATAATGTTATCATTTTTAACGTGCCTGATGAACCGAACATCTTAAACCGACCATCTTACATGCATGCAATACGGATGGAGTCTGCTGTCAATGCCTCAGACTGAGGAGAAAAAACATGACTACATGTCAGTTACTCCTACAGTTTCCAGACGATAGGAGCGCATCCAGATTCGTACGCCGTAAAAGACTAGTTGTTGCACAAAACAATTTGAAGAATATTACCATCAAACACGATCAAACGCCTCTTCAAAGGCGACTAACAATGAAACAAAACCCCTCCGCCCATCATACACCCCATGTTCCTGCTATTGAAGCCAGTACTGACACTGTCATCAAAAATATCGACCTAGATAAGTCAACCGCGTCGTCTGAAATAGTCGAGAACGGGCATCTCAGTCTTCAGCGGCCTCATAAGAGGTTTTCAAACAGCACTAGTAATGTGTCCATACTTAAAGATACCAACCAAGCTGAAAATATAACGACACAGACATCTGCTGACCACACTTAACTCCTTCGTCCCTTCTCCAAGCCGCGAGGCTTTACAAAAGTTGACAGTAACTGTACCTGAGACCTATCCAGAGCGAGACAAAACTCAGATCCTCACGCTAGGATCACGAAAAACAAATCTAAATCCGTCCCGAATGAAGTAAGCTATAGGTTATCTCTGACCAACAAGGGGAAACGCTCTGCCAGATTTTCTCCCATAAGCACTCAAAGATCATTAGGTCTGAAGGGACCACAACAAGAACGTAGAGATATGCAGCTAGGCCAACTGCCTCATGATTCTACATGCAACGGCGACACTGTTGTCGGAATAAGTCACAGAGAGCCGGTCCAATACATACCCACAATGTCTCTGACTATGTTTCCAAATCCCGCGACCTCAAGCTGGTAAAACCCTTATGTGTGCGACAACGAAATAGCAAACAAAATGGTGGTAAACCACACGAACTTACAAGTAAGAGGCTGCAACCCCTATCTACCTCAAGTCAAAATTCACCCACCACCACCCCTGTATTACTCAATTGACAACAATACAATCCGAAGAAAAAGGATTTCGTAGACTTCAGCATCCCCTCACCCCTGTATACTACGGATGTAAGTCCTATTTTAGACTATCGTACACCACCACTTCCTCCCCCTAGCACGTGCGATTATGAATCAGAGAATAATCAAACTACTGGAGTATGTACTTCATTAAATCCAGTACGATGTAGAGCTTAGTGTGCCTCAGCTGCCTCACAACACACCGGTCTTAGATACAATGACAAAGAAACAAACATTACTCACCCCTTCCATTCCAATTTAACGTTGTCTTTCAAATCTCGTCATTAACATTCGTTCCCTTTTACTTAAACTAAATATACTTTCAACACTTACGTTTATGAGATCCCCTGATATTGCTTTTATCACTGAAACTTGGTGCACGTCAGAAATTAGTGATTCTCAGCTTAACATCTTAGGCTATAAACGTTTCCGCAAGGATCGCTCACAAAAACGTGGTAGTGGCCGTGCCATATATCTTCGAAATAACCCGACTGCAATTCCCGCAGATCAACCTGTGTTCGATGACAGAAGATACATTATGGCTAGTAATCCCATCTACTGTTCTTCTAGTGGGTTGTATCTATCGGCCGCCCCGAACCACTAAATGTGAAACCCAAAAGCTAATCGATATGATCAATGTTGCTTCCGGCACCACATACAAATCCAAAATTATGTGTGGAGATTTCAACCTACCACATGTTAACTGGATGCTGCCCATACTCAGAAACACTGCGGGGATTGAGGAAATCGTCTCATGTATTCACCTCAGTGGCTGGACAAAGCATGTTAGAGAGCCAACCATAAGTGCCACTACCTTAGGCCTTGTATTCACGATGGGAATCTCTTACGCTTATATATTCATTGATAATCCACTAATTGGCTGTGATCACAACACGGTGTTTTGTGATATAACTACAGATTCAACTAAACGACCAAGTGAAATGCTAAAACCAATTCGCAACCTCCATCGTGTGGACTGGAACTCATTTAATGAACTTATCAATACCATGAATTGGAATACGTCATTCCTAACTCACAACCCTACTGTGGCTACAAATGAGTTTATTAAGAATATTGCCCTTGGTGTGGATCTACTGATACCTACTGTATGGAGAAATACCCACGAACGTGGTGGTGAACTCAAGCTTCTGTACAAAGCGAAAATCAAACTAAAGAAACTCAAATCTCTATATCGCAGGAGCAACTGCTTCGCAACATTCCTACAAATACACGAGAATTTACTACATTTAAAACACCATTTAAAACCTTTAAAACATTTAAAATCAAAGAAGAAAGTCGGGTATTTAGAAATCCTGAGAAAGTACGTACCTTGATTCAAATACT